CACACACACACACACACACACACACACACACGAAACTCAGAAGAAACGCGGAAACTGTGGTTGTTAAGAATAATCACACCATTCATGTTCAATCATTGACCGAATGAGATTTACTCCTTAGTTCTTAAGCCTCTACTGGTCCCATGTCATTTTGCCCTTGTGTGGTAACTAATTTCAACAATGTCATATCCTAATGTATGTTAATGTGGACATCAAATATGATTTCTGTTTCTGAAAACTCTCCATGCTGTAGGAACCGGGACTTTCAAGAAGTGACCCTGGAGCGAGACGGAGAAATTCTGCTGCAGTTTGCTGCCATCTATGGTTTCAGGAACATCCAGACCCTGGTTCACCGCATGAAGAAGGGACATGTGCCGTACCACTTGGTGGAGGTGCTGTCCTGTCCGGGAGGTAACACTGCAACTATCAACTCAATTTCAAACATATTTATAGTAGCGCCAACCAGTTTAACAGTTGGTCTCATATGTATCAGTATCAGAGTTAATGTTGGCGCACGTGCACCAGTAATGAAAACTTTTATTATACAGAATAAAGAAAGCAAAATTAGTTTGTATACATTTTTTTTATATGGTATTTGGAAAACAAACACACCCACACCTTCTATATTCATATCAGTCAGATTCTAATCCATGCTCATTAGTCTCCTGTTTTCCTGCAAATGTTATCTACCATTCAGCTCTAATCTGTAAACTCTTCCTGTTTCTCACTCAGGGTGCTTGAGTGGCCGCGGTCAAGCGGAGAGCGATTCAGGGGGACATGTGGACAAAGCCCTAGTCCAGCAGATGGAGGACACCTACAGCAGCCTACCGGTGCGTCTCCCAGAGGTCAACCCCACCCTGTACACCCTCTATCAAGAATGGCTGCAGGGCCAGGACTCCTCACAGGCCAACACGCTGCTACACACCCAGTACCGAAACCACACTCAGACGCACGCACAACCACCACACATGCAGTGGTGAGAACGACGGACGTGATTTATGAAGGAGGTCAAATGAGGACCGCCTCCGCCGGGTTCCGATTCTGCTTGGACCATTTCAACGCCGAGGACAGCACTCTACTATGGACCAGTGAGGGAGAGGAAGTCTCTGTGGGTGTACTTCTTCCATTGGCCACAAGGCTGCGATGGTGGATCCTCTGTATTAAGCTTCAGCCTGTGGAGAAATCAAGGTCCAGAGTCCAGGAAAACCCAAACATTCATTTAATGTACACTGTAGCAGTTATCTCAATACGCTGCTAAGATAATGGCTGATAACAAGAAATATTGCGTAAGCAGTTACCTGGTGCAAGGGGTGAACTATTTATTCAAATATACAAAGCAATAAGCTACTGTGTGTGAAAAACATGAAAGAAGCTTTTAGCACAACTGGAGCCCATGACCTGAACTTGTGGATAGTGAATGTGCATTTGAAGAGTCTAATGATCCAAATCCTAAACGTCCAACATGAAACAATGTTTTACTTTGTGTTACAGTCGTCGCCACTGTCCCTCACTGAAACACAACACAGCGTGTTCTCAGACACCTTGATGGCTATGCAACAGTGTGATCGTCTCATGCCAACACAGTATCTGCTGTGTACCAGTGAAGAGAGAATTATTTTTAATGGTACAAGAAAATTTCATTTGTATTGTCAATTTGTTCCCATTCCACTAACTAGTATTTTTACTCTCTGTTCTTTCAAACTGTCGGGTCATACCGGTGAAGAACTAAAAGATAAAATAAACAAAAAGTGTCGTGTCATTTTTATTTATATGATGAAGCCTCTGCTTTTTCTGGATTTTATGTCTGAATGTGAAAACATTCGAGGTCCAACCCAAGTGAATGATTATGTGCAAAGGAAAGAATTATAACTTTTTCAATCATTCACCTCAGTCATTCACAACAAGTGTAAGTCTGATCTATTCAGTGTGTTTTATTCCCTGAGCACCAGCATAGTAGGGTATCTGTTTCACCTGTGTGGGTGTGGGCGTGTGTGTACTTACATAAACTCAGCAATGCATGGATGGATTTTTATTTAACTCCATCCTTCCCCCGCATATCCTCTCATCTCAACAGGTTGTTTCTTTAGTGTCGCGGAAAAGAAACACTCAACATTTACAATTGATCACATTGAATCAATTCAATCACTCGTCTAGACATTCTGGATAAGTCACTTCCTGGTCTCGTCCAAAATGTATTTTGCCAGATTATATTAGAAAAACTTAATCCATCCAGTATCCGTACTGCATATCCTTTGAGGGTCACAGAGGAAGCTGGCATTGGTAAGAGGCGGAGGTACAACCTGGACAGGTGTCCGGCACATCACAGGACCGACATTGAGACACACAACCATTCACACTCATATTTACACCTAAGGTCAATTTAGTCTTCAGTTAACCTGACCTGCATGTACTTGGTACTGGGGTATGCAGAGTAAACCCTTGCAGACACAGGTAGAAAGTGCAAAATTAAAAAAGGGTCCTGCCTGAAACGCGATTCAAACCAAGAACATTCTTTGACTGTGCTACCCGCTGCACCACCTTGCCCTCATCAGCCACTCATACTGTATGTAACTTGGGTCAGATGCCGAGATCCTGCCCTCTTAGGGAGCCCCCGAGACACAAACAGCAAAAAAAATGAAGCATCTCTATCACAGCAAAGTATCAACTTTATCATTATACAGTGTTAATTATACTTGCAAGGGATTTTAAACATCTTTTAAATGTTGTGTGTTATTTTATTATTTTTTTATTACTCATGTGTTCATTCATAATAAATTATAAGGTGTTCTTGGGTGTTTGGAAAGTCCCAGTGAAATAAAATTATTATTATTATTATTAGTATTATTGTTGTTGTTCTTGTAGTTGTTTTAAGGGGTGGTGCTGTTTAGCTGTACTGAATTACATGGATGTTTCTGCTATAAAGCTAACCCTCATTTGTATAAATGGGATGGGCAAAGTGACAGAAACACCATAACATATAAATCAAATCTACAATTTAACAGCACTACAACCTATGTAAAATGTAAAATGTTCCCTTGTTTATAGATATATAGATAGATAGATATACTTTATTCATCCCCAAGGGGAAATTCAAGCAGTACAGACATGTGTCATAAGTACAAGTACTTTTTGACATAGAAAGAGCATGCATGTAGGATGGTAGTTGAGTTATTCAGGCAGAGCTAAGTTGAGGCAAAGTTAAAACAGAGGAGACTGGGTTGAATGTTTCAGTGATCTAAGAAGCATAAAAACATAAGACAGTACAAGGAGTAGAAGTGGCCCAGTGATAAAGTTATAAAACAGTGCAATTAATAAGTGATACAGTGATGTGAAAATGAGACTAGCTGTATGTGATCTGCAACGATAAAAGTTACTGATAAAGAATACCAGTCATCATAACCTTACACCTTTGGAGTTGTTGAACTGAAGCTTCTTGTACACAGCAGTTGTATTCTACTTCTGGTTAATGCAGTCTGTTGATGATCTCATATCTCTCACTCCTTCACCTTACTCCTCCTACCTGTATAAAACTTTATCTTGTTTACTCTCTCCCTCCACACCACTCAGATGTATCGTGTGTGTGGGCGCTCTACTTGCAGGAAATTGTCAGAGCTCAGGGATTTCAGTTTTCCCTGAGAATGGCTCCCTGATGCATAGGAAATAAGTGCTCCTCGAGGTAAGCCCCTCTTTTTCAGTACATTCATGTAAAGAGTGAGCAAAGGTGTGATCATATTGGATTTTTCACGGAAACCAATTACCTATGTTTTATGATTTTTTTATGAATTTACTGTATCTTTTTTTTTAATCTTCATATTCAAGCCAGATACATTACATACAACTGTCAGTTGTTATACACCGGCTTGCAAAACTAGTTTTCTTGTTCATCCAGAACATGACAACTTGTGGCTTCAAATGGTTCATGGTCATTTGAAGGAGAGTTCCATGTGTCTGTGCTTTCATAACTGCAAAATATCACACAGATGGTTAAAGTACAATTCTAAACTTCTACCCTAGGAATTAGAGGTAAGAGGCTTAAGTTACAAAAAAAACAGCATGCACCTAAAATGTGAGACCTGACTCTCTAACACTACAGTTTAGATTAAGACGTAAAGTTAATCATTAGCACAATGCCTACAGAACTATCATGCTGTTTTGGCCACTTATAATGTCAGTCACTCTTTATATTTGTATGATGTGTATTGTGTTGGTCTTGTCTTCTTGCTGATCTTGAAAATATAAAATGCAGGTATTGAATTTACGCAAAAAAAACACCCTTCTGGAAAGACTTTGACCGCCTGACACTTTAGAGGTCAGAGTACTGGTCACTGATTCCTGTTTGCTGGACGGATTCAGATGTTCGGCTTTGGCATCAGCCTCACAGTATGCTGGTTGTGTAGTTTGTCTCTGTCGACACTGCTCACCGGTTGAAAATACAAATTTGTTCCCAGCTCACTTCGTTGACATTTACATAGAAAACCATTTGATTGAGCAATTGCAACACTTGCAATTAGTTATTATATTCACCCTGAGGCACAGGGGCCCCTCATGTCTCAACAGCTTTTCTTCTTTCTTTCAGATTCTAAAGACAGAGGCGCGTCCAGCATGTCCCGTGTGTGGATATGTTTGAGTCTGCTCTGCGCTGCCACCCACTCTCTACAAAGCAATGCTCCGCCAGGTATTTTTATGTTGCTAATACCATAAGTAAATACACTGGGTACTGATTTTTTAAATACGTATGAAAACATAAATCATTTCTTGCCCCTTTTCTGTGTTGTCCAGCAGTGAATATGAGGTGCAACGAAACAGTGGAAGTGGAAGCTGGAAAACCTTTGACAGTATACTGTACTGTAAATTATATTGACCAGCCAGTCTGTAGAATTACACAGGCACAGCTGAACACAAATAGCAACGTAACATATGACTATGAAATTAAAAGTAACACTTCTGTGTTGCTGAATGTCTCAAATGTCACGAAAGACAATAACTGGACTGTGGAGGTAGAAACAGACTGTGGTTCTACCAACTTAGTCCATGTCAAAGTAACAGTCAACCTCAGCATTGCTTGGACTGGTGAGTATCTTTCAGTGTCTTAAATACAATTATTTTTGTTTGTTAAATTGATATAGCACTGCTCAAACCACACATACAAGATACTTTACATGTTAAAACTGAAGGAAAACAATGTGAAACAATCAGAAGCAGTATGAAGATCACACAGCAATGGAGCACAGATGCATATGTAAAAAGTGTTACAGATAAGAAAAGAGTAAACAAAAGAGTATGGAGAGAATAAAACATTGTAAATTATTCAAATAGTTGTAACAGAACTAGGAGAGAGCACATCTATAAAATGTGTCTAAGAGAGATTTGAAAGAGGATCAGAACATGTGTGTGAGTGTATATGTATGTATGTGTGACTGTGAGTGTACGTGTGTATGTATGTAAGTGTGCATGTATGTGTGTGTGTGTGTGTGTATGTATGTATGTGTGTGTGTGTGTTGTGTTTGTGTATGTGTATGTGTATGTGTATGTGTATGTGTATGTGTATGTGTTTGTGTATGTATGTATGTTTGTAGGTATGCATGTGAATTGTGTTTAATCCAGAGGTACATGTTTTGTCTTTCCAGAGCCAGAAAAGTCAGTGCAGCCTTCTGACTGGCACACCACAGCTCCCATCATATTTTGTGTTTGTCTCTTCCTCACTGCTGGCATTTTGTACTTCCTGTTTGGAACTGACAGAGGCAGAAAAATCATCAAAAGAGAAAAGATACAGGGACAAACCCAGACTCATCATTGTCGCCTGGCAAATGCTGAAATGTACATATGATATCTGTTATGGAATTTTCATAGACACTGTCTCTTGTCCTCTCTGGGGCGGAGTGCAACAGGCAAGTGCGAGAGCTTGGCTGTTATGTAAAAAGTATTGTTACATATCGTATTTTATTTACCTGTTTTTATATTTATCAGTTACATCAGTAATCTTTGAGGTCTTTATACAAGTGGATCCATGTGAAAATATTTTTGGGTGTTGTGCAGATTAGTTTGATTTTCTTTGTTCTCTTTGATTAAAATACAATGTGATTTATATATTAGCCTTTTGTTGTAGCTGGTCAAGGTGAAGCTACACTCTTTTTTTATTAAAGGTTCTCTAGAAGCCAAGCCCTTCAAGGAGACCTATTATGCTCGTTTTGGGGGTTGCTAACTTTAATTTGGGGCATTACTTGAAAAGTTTTTACTTTTTGGAAATCCCATTCTGCTGTGACTGGCCAGCTGGTGATCAGTCAGGACGAGAGGAAGCTGTGAACAGACAACGCTGCAATTAAACACAACACTAACAGTTATTTTTAATCATACAGGTATAATTTTAAAGATGTAAAAGATAACAGTTACGAGGAAAAAAGATTTTGGTACAGACTAAAGGGACAAATGCAAGTGTTTATTTAGAACATAAGCACTAACTTTAGTTTTCAGATAATAAATAGAATGACAAAGGTGATGGAGAATTTGAAACCTTTTTTTTAATCATCCCTAAAAATGTGCTTTTATTTGATATATATAATCTTATTTTGCAAAAGACACTTGTGTTTCTTTTATCTTTTTCTTTAGCCCTTACTTGTAACTGTATTATTTTATCAGTTGTCTTATATTTCTTGTATGATTTAATTAGCTTTTTAAAATTTTAAATGAAATTGAATTAATTTGCTTCTTGTCTTTGATGTTTTGTATTCTGGTTTTTACTTGTCCTGTGAAGCACTTTGTAACAGCTGTTGTGAAATGTGCTATGTAATTAAAGTTATTATTATTATTATTATAGTTATTATTAATTGTATAACATAGGACAAGATGGAGAATATCCTATTCAGTAGTAGTGGTAAAAGTATAAAATAGCATAAAATGTTGATACTTTAAAGTACCTGAAAACTGTACTTCAGTACAGTATTTGACAAGATGTACTTTACTTTGCATAACTGTCTCACAGTTAATTTCCGCCCCTTTTTAATCCATTAAACATTGGTGATAGAGTCATTCGTTTTATTTCCTTTTGGACAAATAAGTTTTGTTTGGCAGAAAAGTGAGTGAGCTGCCACTTAATGTGTGGTGTAGAGAAGTGACGCATGTGAATCGTGGTGTAAAAGACTGAAGAGTGAGCTTTCTTTTCAGTTTCAAATATGTTTGCTTGACTTTTTGAGTTTTACTAAATGCAGGTATTTGTTTCCCTTGTGTCCAATAAATATATTTTGAACAATCAAACAAATCTGTAATACAGTTTCTGTCTGACTTGAATGAAAATGTTGTGCTTGTAAAATCCATCTTTCAGTTGATGCATTAAAATGACATATTTACCACTTGACAGCTGCAAAACCGTATGTATCCCATATGCAAACAAATAATCATTTGTGTTGGAATAAAATAATTTACAATCTGAGAGAATATAAATTATTATGAGGGGCCGTCAGGGACATTATTCAGAATTACCTCTCACACACATGTGAAATGCTCTTACATACACTACTGAAACTCTCTCACATAAACAACTGAAAAATGATTTGCTCACATATACAAGTCAAATGCTCTCATACATACAACTGAATTGCTCTCATATAATATATATATATATATATAGATTAAATCCTCTCATTATTTACCCATCATTATTCTGATGGAGGGGTGAGTGAAGTGTTTGAGTCCACAAAACACTTTTGTTGCAGTGTTGCAGCCAAATCCAATATAATTGCAAAGTGAAACAAATGTATGGCCTCCCAGAGAAAGTGTTTAAAAACTAATGTTAAGGTTTTTTCCCTTCTACTCACTGATTCTGGCCTGAAACAATGAGTAATCCTCTTTTTCTACTTTGCTCCAATCGTAATTTGTATTTATAATATTCATATTAAAAATCACTTAGGTACATTTCCTGTGGAACTGAAGTGCTCCACTGCCGGTTTCCCCCGGCCTGTAGCGGGTGTAACACACGGCGCAGCCTTGAAAACAGTCCTGACAATGATGATAACTTAATATTTGTATATTACAATAATCGCAGTCGGGGGCGCGTAGCGGCGGTTAGCTGTTAGCATTGGATGGCTAGCTGGGGGAGCTCGAACACACGGGACAGACGGACTGACTGACCGAAGCTCACAGCACCGACGAGAGCAGCTGCAGGGGAAACCGCAGGTAAACACCGACACCCCGGGGGCTGACTATTTACTGGTCTCAAGCCGAACAGCTCGTCTGGAGCCAGGGAGGGAAAAGAAGTGAAGATGAGCGGCCACAAGTTTCTGTTGTCCAGGCTGAAGCTGTGGACGCCGGGGAGGAGCAGGTGGTTGAGTCCGCTTCATGGTGGTGAGTGAACAGATGTTTCATGTTCAACCTGAAGCTCCATCAGTTCAGTGCTGCTCATACTGTGCGGACGGAGCACGCACCAAACCCAATGCAAAGTTCAGTCAATTATGATTCGTTTAAGTTGCTTATTGTCAGAACCTAATGCCTCTTCTCGAAGATGATGCGGAACCTTTAACTACGGACTTCACTCGGTAATTCAGCTTACACCAAATGTTCCAAGATGTATGAACTATGAGGCAACAACTTAATGCCTGATTCGTCATTCAAACACATTGAACACCACAGAGACCTCATTCAGTATCATTTAGCAGGAGCTGTAGAAGTGTACACTGGCAGATGTGGAGGAAGTACTCAAACAAGAAGTACAAGTACAAATATGTAGATAATATGTACTCAAGTAACGGTCCATTACATCATTAACTGTGCTTACTGCACTCATTATGGTTGTTATTATTATTAGTGATGGTAACGACTATAATTGTTCTATTCACTTTTACTAGAAATAATTGCTGTAAAATAGTTATTATAGATATGTGCAATGTTGTAACAGTATTGCACATAATGTGATATTGAAATTGCATGGATAGAAATGGTCATTGCACAGTTAAGTAAGATATATATATATATATCTTTATATATGGTCTATTGGAAGCAGAACTGGCTGCACAGTCTAACAGCAGCAGGAAGGATCGACCTGTGTCCCCTCTCCTGTGGGTAAATCAGCCTGTCAGTGAAGAGTTGCCCAGCGCTGTGATGGTGTCCCGCAGGGGGTGGGACTGGTTCTCCATCACAGATGACTGCTTGGCTCTTCATTCTCCTCTCTCCCACCATCTCCGCTGGGTTAAGGCGGTATCCTAGGACCGAGCTCTCCTTCTTAGTCAGTGTGATTAGATCGGTGAACCAATTGCCCCCTCATCCTTGATAAGGTTTGAAAATATGAAAAAAAAACAATGTCAACATGTAACCACGCATTGTTCAAATTAGTGAAGTAGAAAGTATGGTGGCCCAAGACGTCTCACACAGGCGCATTAATGGAAAACATGAATGCAAAAGCCACAACACAGCTACAAGTCACCAAATGGAAACACAATCATTATGGAAGTGAGCGACATGGGAAATTGACAATGAAATGAGCTACTTACTTTGGTCAAGTCCTGGATGTAAAGGTTCAAGTCAAATCAAATTTGAGATGTTACAGTTCAGGTGCGTTCTTCCTTTTTGGGTGCTCCAAGCACTTGTACCGATACACCTCAAATAGACAAACATTACATTTTAAGCGGGGCTTGACAAGATTTTCACAAACAACGGCCGCAGAAAGAAAAAAAAACCATCTCTTCCGTTGTGGTTGTGTTTCCATTATGTGGCTTTTGTAGATGTGCAGTGGTCTGCATTTGTGTTTTTGTGTGAGACGTCTTTGTCACTGTTAGAAAGTAAAAATATTTGTTGATATATGTTGTGGAATAAAAGCACCCAAAAAAAAAAAAAAAAAAAAAAAAAAAAAAAAAAAAAAATAGTAACAGTACAGATACATGGAACATGTACTAAAGTACAGTAACAAAGTAAACATACTTTGTTACATCCTCCACTCATAATAGGCAACTGGACTTTTTTTTTCTACACATGAAGACATCATGTGGTGTATGACTGAGAAGTTTCACTGATATTAAGAACTTTGTATTAACGTTGGTATCCC